CTTTCAAAGTGTGTTCGTCGTCACTTTCAGAAATAGAACAAAAGGAATAAACAACATTTACCTATCCCAAATAAAACTTTATCGTATTGACCTAAATTCAACATTTTAAAATTAAGCCAAACTGGTTCCTTACCTCTTGACATCTTTGAACTCTTTTCAAAATATTTTGTTGACCCTTTCTTAACCCTTCCATACCACGGACCCACGTCTATATTTATGACAAAAGTATTTAAGATACTCATTCAAGTCATAAATATATACATAGATTGATTTGATGTATTCGTTTTATATATACAAAAAGTAACTATTAAACACATACGTCGAATGAATTGGCTGTTCTAGGAAAATTATCCTAACTCCTAAGTAGGTATGAACAACACAAAAACACACTAAAACCTACATAAATTCTACATTTCTGCACCAAATTCGCTCAAACCTAGACCAAACTCAAGAGAATTTTGTCAGCATTCAGAATATATGGTCAAATTGCCCATTTATGTGATTAATATTATCAAAATTTTGAAAAAACCAAAATTTCGACCTAGCTCAAAATTTTCAAAAAACTGAATTTTATTCCAAAAATACCACTCCAATATGGCTGTACTGTGGCTTAAAAGATTCACAAATGTCTCAGCTTGCCTTTTAACTCATACATCTGTGTTAGTTGCTCAAATATTTTTACATAGCAAGAATAAACTAGGTTTACCCAAGGTATGTCCAACTCAAATAACACACTAATACCTACTTAAATTGAATAAAAAAATGTAAATGTTAATAAAATGTAAATGGTTAAGATTTTATTCAAATATGTTGTTACGATCCCCTGTCTCGGGCATATTATTATAATATGTTTTTTATGTATGTGTAAATAATTTCTGTTAGAATAAGAACATCAGGAATTGGTGTTGGCCACGGCCGAGTCCAATGGAATTTGCTGACTTAGGGATTTCGCCCTAGCCAGACGGCTCGGGCCGTGGCCACCACCAACGGGGAATTAGTCGTGTAACTACCGTCAGTGAATCGTGTCACACAGAGTATCTGTTTTACAGAGCATCTATATTTTACAGAGCATCTATGTTTTCAGAGTATCTATGTTTTTAGAACATCTTAATTAAATGTAAATTGTGTATATTATCAGAAAATCTTGTTTTATTCGTATATTTGTGTGTTACATTTAAAATACAACCAGAAAATCCGCCGATACGTTGTGTAATTTACTGACTTTAACCTAATAATCGTCCTACCCCGTGGCTCACGTTACAATGTGTATTACAACTATTACACAACTAACTTACGTCCAAAAAATTAGGGTACATTAATATTATTAATATTATAAAATGTTTTTTATAACTTTATTAATATTATATTGTGTACTTGTAAGGTTTTATTTATTTAAGACAACCAAATAATACACTCATAATATGAAATTAAATATTAATTAAATACTGTGTTAATTGAAGTTCTAAAGTATATTATACGAGTAGAAACATTTAAGTAAATATATTATATTGTTTTAAATAAGTTGGTATATTATATTGGTATCAGATGCTAAGATTATTAAATACTTAAAAAATAATCATAAACTCATTAAAATGTTATCAATGAACATTCTGTTTTACTTTTTTTATAACGCGAAAGTATGTTTTGAAAAACAGATTTTCTTTACAAAACAATCTGGTTGAAACATCATTTCGTTCATCAGTTCATATAGAAGCTAAAAATACTTAATGGTTGATGGATTTTTGATGATGAATGTGTAAAAAGAAATATGGAAAATTATTATTTAGTTATAGTTTTTTATTATTATGTATGACTTTGACAAAATTAGGAGAATTTATTGAACGAAAAATTGAAAATAACAAATAATTAACATATCAATTCAAACCACAGAAAAAAATACATTATATTTATGATTTATTTTTGTTTTATATATACCGATTTATCGTAGACACTCATTTTTTTAGTAAAATAATAACAATTTTGTAGTGTTTCTTTTTGAAACTACGTTTAGATAACTTACGGCGCTGAAAGATTTTACAAAAATGATTCATTTTTAAAATTAGTTTAGTACACTATATTTTATACGAGGTAATAACAATAGTTATATACTATTTATATAATTTAAGTACTTGGTTTTGGTCGTTTTATATGATCAAATCCTTTTATTTTTATACCATTGACAGCGATTCCTCCATTTACAAGGATATCTACCACAGCATCCTCGCGTTCACCAATTCCTGGAACTATTTCACCACCGATTATGATTCCATTGCGATTTCTCTCTATAGTTACTTCCGAATTTTCAAATAGTTTCACTGGTGGGTATTTGCCTAAAATTTGTAAAAATAAATGATATATTTTTAAATAAGTATACATTTTCAACTATTTATAAAACGGGTCTTAAATCACCTTACTACAATTATTGAAACTTCTTATGTGATATGATTATTTTTTTAACTTTTACTAATCCGACAATGTACAGACAAATATTTTGTAAGCAAAGCTTCCCTTATTAATCAATGCTTAAGCAAGTTTTAAGACATACAAATAATAATATTATGCTATTAACTACCTGGCATTCTCAAAACAGTTTGTCCCGCTGCTTTTAGACCTTGGAATCCTTCTTTTGGTTGACCATTCACTGTAATTCCTCCTTCTTCGTGGTAATCGATTACTATTCCATCGATTCCATTAACTCCTAGAATTTGTTTGCCATTGATCTCTAGATCATTCATGTTATACCATTTAATGACTATATCTTGACATCCAAATGTGGCTCCTGGATTTGTCCAACCGTTGAGCACAAGGTCGCGTCTTTTAAAGTCCGGGTTTGCGCCTTTATATACTTGATCCTCTTCGTAGTTTACTGTCAAAAATCCTAAATCATCTCCTGGAACTTTTTTTTTCGTTAACTGTGAGGTTAGGTTAGGTACATACGTTTTATACAGGGTGGCCCACAAAGATTTGACAAATGAAATAACTTTTGTTCTAGTGAATATTTTTAAGAATTTTTTTTTTTTTAATAATTTATGCACATTTGCGCTATAAGCACCGTAGTTTTTATTGCACTTGCACCTGTTTTACTTTTTTCAGTCGTTTTTTTTTATCACATATTTTTATTTTTTTTCAAGATAGCCATTTTATTCAAAATAATTTTTAGGTAACGCGCGCAGATAAAAATAAATCTACGGGGTTTACTCTACCGCACTCCACCTCCCGTCACCAGTCATCCTCACTTTCAAATGAATATAACTTTTGAACGGATGAACAAAAATAGTAAATACAAATTTTTTTCACCAATTCTTTTTTAAAAATTATGAAGTATAAATGCGAATGAGTATAATATACTTAAATTAAATTAATTTAAGAAAATATACATATTATGTAAATTATTAGATATTATTTTGTAAACCTAAACATACCGGCAGTTTCTGGTAGGTTTTCTGAAAATAAGTCAAGTTATAATAAGCCAAAGGGGCTAACATAATAAAATAAATGTACAATTAAACTAAATAAACAACATTGTATACATAATAGGTACCTATGATAATGAAAAGTATTATTCAAAATATAAGGGTTTCGACAAATTAATTAGTCTAAAGCTATTCTGTACACTCTATTCAATTTAACATAATACAGGGTTTTTTTTTTAAATACTCTACCTAATATCTTATAGGAATTAATCAGTTGTTAGATGTTTTTTTCCGCAGTCTTTCTATGCAATGTGATCTTAAATTATCATATACTTTTACCCTTTCCCAAATTATTTATTTTTGTAAACATACCGTCAGTTTTTAGTAGGTTTTCTGAAAATAATTCAAGATATAATAAGCCAAAGGGACCAACGAAATAAAATAAAAGTACAATTAAAATATATTAACAACATTGGGTACATAATAGGTGTGATAGTGAAGACTATTAGTCAAAATATAAGTGTTAAAGCTTAAACAAAATAATAGCAGTCTGAAGCTGCTCTTTTTTAATTAGGTACCTACACTCTATTCAATATAACAATATGCGGTTACATTTTTTAAATTATCCACATATTAACTTATAGGATGTAACCAGGTATACAATTTTTTCCATAGTGTTTTATTCAATGAGATCTTAAATTTTAACAAATTTTTACCCACTCCCAAACTATGAAGAATAATTTAATAAACATTTTGACAGTTTGAAAACTAATTTTGGATAATTACATTTAAAGTTATTAGGTTTAAAAATGAGGACGGGAGGAATGGTGGTGTGTAGTATTATTTTTATCTGCGCGATTAACTCTACCACACTCCAACTCCCGTCTTAAATTTGTAATTTAAGTAACTTTAAAAGTTCAGTCAAATTCTTCAGCAAATTATTCTTAATCTGAAAAGTTAATTAAATATGTACGTTTAAGTTTCAAAAGTTGATTGCGCTCAGTTTAGTACAAAAAAAGTAGATTAAAAAATTAATCTAAAAATAACGTTTTTATGCGCCTTCAAAAGTATAAAATAACCCTCCGGGGGTCTTGATAACCAAATAGGACAGGTGAACTAGAAAAACGTGGGGCGCATCTTTCTACTTAGATATTAAAACCTAAGCTTTCATGTTAATGCATTAAGTTGTCTCTCATAATGCTGTCTCTCTAACCGAACGGATCAGAAAGTGATAGTATGACTTTTTTTTGGGAATGAAATTTAATGGATTTCCGTGCCACTTGCCTTAAATTTCATTGCAAATTGAAAAGACTTAATTGCTATTCTCTCTTAAGTTTGTTTTATGTAGGTTGCTTCAATTTTTTTGTTAACTACCTACTTGCTTAACATTTAAAGTAATGTGATGCTCAATTTTACATGACATGTCATTAAGTATTATTTTATTTAGAAGAGAAAAGATGATTGTGCATGAATTATGAGTTAAGGTAGTTATTAATGAGAAGAGAATGTTATTATATACTCAGACGTGTGAAGTAGTAAAGATGCGCCCCACGTTTTTCTAGTTCATCTGTCCTATTTGGTTATCAAGACCCCCGGAGGGTTATTTTATACTTTTGAAGGCGCATAAAAACGTTATTTTTAGATTAATTTTTTAATCTATTTTAGTTATATTGTTCTTTTTCGTTTTCGTGTGTACGTATCTATACATTTAAATGTACAATATTATTGCTGCATGGTCAGAAGGATTATCATAAGAATTAGTAATCAATTTAAAAGCTTATAATTTTAGATTTATTACTGTATAAATTATCATAAAAGTTGAAATTAAGTTGTAATTACTATATAAATTATCATAAAAGTTGAATAAAATTTGTAAGAAAATGCAAAAAGTGTAATTATGGGAACCGGGTTTGAACCTGGTACCGCTAATACCTGAGCACCGTTCACGCCCAAACGCACCACGCATAATTTTTGCTGGCAGGTGAGAAATAAGTCTTTTTGATTGCAAGATTCCACCCGGAACGACGGACAAGAAATCGACCCCATTTTAACCCCCTTAGGGTTGGAATTTTAAACCTCTTGTGGATTAATAATGCATTGTCATCGAATTGTGAGCTACCCTGAAAGTTTCAGCCGGATAGCTAATCGGGAAGTGCTCGAAATTTGAGTTGCAAGATTCCACCCGGAACGATAAACAAGATAGTGAGTTCATAAAAACGTTATAAAAAATATAAATATTTGGTAATATTATACAATTGTAATAATTAGATCAACCTGTATTATCTAACTTATCTTAATCTTCAGAGGAAATAATATAGTGATTTTACCATTTATATAAGCGTTAAAAATTGGGTTTTCGAAAAAAACTGTAGTACTATAGTAAGTAAACTGTTAAAAAAACATATTATGTGATTAAGCGGTACCTAATATAACATATTTCATTGCCGAGGATTAGCATAAATTAATTAAAATAAATAAAGGACACTAATTCCAAAAAAAGAAAACTGTAATTAAAACTTTTAGTTTAAATATTATAATAAAATATATTATTATGTGTCTGCTTAATTGATAAACATGTTATTTTCAAACGAAATCTGGGTCGGTTTCGGGTACCTAACAAAGTTATTCGGTATTTTGTAACATATTTAAATTCAATTTATTTAAAATGTTTATTTTTCTAACCAACAACTAAATTCTATTTAATTACCACGTAGGGAAGACGTATTACTGCCGCATCTGAAAAGTTAACGTTAATTTATCAATGTATATTTTATACACATAAAACTCTAGATTCGATTACATTTTTAACTATAAATAATATTTAAAAAAATACATACAATACATAAGCTACTAGACTAAGCAAAAGAATAATCTTGATATTCATCATAATTAATAATTAATATCATAAAAGTATAATATTCAACTGTTATAATATACTGCTTAACTCGACTACTCTAACTTCTGTGTGTTACTACAGTATTTTTAAGAAAAACACTAAATTATTATTATTTTGTGGTATAGTCGAAAATATGTTATTTGGGAACAGTTTATTCATAATATTATAGTTCTCTAGCAAATAACTATAGAAGATACATAATACATTTGGTTTATACAAAAATAAAACAGAAATAATGCGGGGAACTTTATACTGTAAACACAATAATTTATTACCACAGGCTTATAAAATAATGGCACTTCCACACAACCCACCTATACCTCTACGAGGTCAAAACTCAAAATCGATAGTAGGAGGAAGGTAGAAAAGCTGGGAATTGCATGGAATAAAAATGTAATAATATGGAACACTATATTTTTACTTAGCGGTTAAAATTTAAATGGTTAAGATTTGAAATTTAAAGTACATAACTATAGCTGTCGATTTGTGTGCCTATAGCTGTTATTTGTTTTGTACACATTTTCTACTTTGAAATGTAATATCAAAATAATTTAAGTCCTAAAATGTGTTTTTAAAAAAAAAACATTCAATCTTTTTTTGAGTTTGACTTTGGAAATAATAAAAAAACGTATATTTAATAATTAAAATTACTATGATACCATAATAAACGAAATTAGATTTCATAGATTATGAATGTTGAAGTAATTTCTAGATTTTATTCGGAATAGTATAAGCATAAGCAATAAGCAAAAAAGCAAAATCTAGCAAAGGTTAAACTTTAAATTAGCACAGACAAAAACTAGCTGAGTCTGAAGCGGGTATAGTTTAAAATGAAAACTTTCTAGAACTTATACAGAAAAAGCCAGTACAGTGGGAATGGGGAAGGTCTCAAGTCTAAAAAAATGATTATAGCTGAAAGTGATAAAATCACTTTTAAATAAACGCTTCGAAGCTTTTTTGAGGATAGTAAGAACCCGGCACCACAATTTTAAGCGTGCAGTGTTTAAAAAAAACAATTAATACCACATTTGGCAGCAATGAAAAATGCTTAGATAAATAAAACGCACTTGGATTTGAACTCATTATAGACAGAAAATGTATTACAAAACAGCAAAATGCAAAAATTGCTGTTAAAAAAATACCGCATAAAGGTTTTAGTTAAAATGAAACATATTATGTGTTTAATGGATTTTGGTCGTGTCGATATTTATTTTAGCTAGAAAATGTAATATACTTCCCCTGCTCGATTTTAAAAATAAATCGTAGCGATTTTGTGTGCCTATAGTTGTTATTTGTTTTGTACACATTTTCTACTATGAAATGTAATATCAAAATAATTTAAGTCCTAAAATGTGTTTTTAAAAAAAAAACATTCAATCTTTTTTTGAGTTTGACTTTGGAAATAATAAAAAAACGTATATTTAATAATTAAAATTACTATGAAACCATAATAAACGAAATTAGATTTCATAGATTATGAATGTTGAAGTAATTTCTAGATTTTATTCGGAATAGTATAAGCATAAGCAATGAGCAAAAAAGCAAAATCTAGCAAAGGTTAAACTTTAAATTGGCACAGACAAAAAC